TGAAACACAAAAGTTACAAATAAAATAAAATAAAAAAAAAATAAGATGAAAAACAGAATCAGCCAATTAACGGACTGCTTTTTTCATAAAAACTGACTGGGCGTCTCACACACACACATGAAACGGCTGAGAGCTCAGCTCCCCTTCAAAACTACAATGATGGTTCTGAGTTACTGCAGAGGGAGCAAAATGTTAGAACGACAGAGATGGCAGAATGTTTTGGGCATAATATCCCAACCACTGTTACGCATGGGATTAGTTTGGCCCTTTGAAATGAAGCATGAAATGCAGGTAACCAGTATCAAAGTGTATTAGTTTACTCTGACAAAGCTGTCAATTTTAAAGGTGAAACTAATGGATTGAACTGTACAAAGACCCTTTTGTATCCCCTTTTTAGTGATTAAGTTATCGTTTTCTTTACTTAGACCGTTAGATAACTAATAAATAAAGTCCTTTTTTTTGGCTGATAAAACAGCTGAACTCAAAGCATTTTGTAAATTAAGTTCCCTCAGAGAGTCCTCTGTACTTTCCCTTCACTGCACTTGTGACTGGAAACTTTTGTTAATTGTGATTCCTTGAAAAGATGTTGCTCTTACTGGCAGTTCCAGAAATGCAGATAGTCGTGTATTAGCTTGTTTGTCCTAAAAAGCATTGTACATTGGGAGAAAAACAAAGTTAAAGGAGAAAAATTCCAACCTTGAAGGAAATACACAGATGCATCCTCTGAGGGCTGATAGAATAGGGGAAGCAACAAGGACATTTCTGTTTGAAACCTTTAAGTTCAGCTTCAAAGATGGAAACAATAAGTTGATCATAATGATTGTTCAGAGAAAAGCAAATGAATAAAGCCACTTTGAAAATGGTCATTTAGAAATACTCCCAGTGCTCTTCTTGCTTCCTTACAGTTTTTCTGTTTTGTTCCTTTGTTTCTTGTCTATGTTTACCAAACTTTGACTTTACATTAAATCCTAATATTTGTGTTTATCATCAACTAACTAATGCTGTGTTGTGGGTCATGTTAATTCAAATTTATGCGTTTTTAATCTTCTCACTATGTTTATTCTTAAATTACTTAAACCAGAGATGTAGATCTGGCATTTTTTCAGTTCTTAAGGTTTTGTGACTAACTTATCTAAAAATGATAACTAATATTTATTTTTCTTTTCTTTTGTTTATACTTATAAGCTCATAATAAACAGCTCACGACTTAACAATTAACTAGATGGCTGCTGTAGTTTCCAGCTACAGCAGCTGCTGGCAGTTATTTACATATTAAATAACGTAAAAACTTGCGAGTGTGTTAATTCCCAAAGATATATTTCTGATTTAGATAAGTTCATCTTCTCTAGATGAATTGCATCCGCACCTTTTCACCATGCACATAATCTACATTTCATGAGATTCACATTTCACAGAGTGAGGGAGCAGAAGCCAGAGGATAGCAAACATAGCACAGGAGCCGCTGGTTCACCACATACATCATCACCTCCAGTCAGGTGGACTTAAGGACAGGCGCCTTTCTGCCAAAATAAACATCCAACCTCATCAGTGCTGTAACTATAATTTTGCTGCAGACCTCTCAGCAAACAGTCTCTCAGTGGGACCATATTGCACAGCTGGTGAGAGTACAAGGGGTTGTGGATCTAAAATGGAAGACATCCCAGTGACAGCAGCAGATAGAGCTTTGACGTGTTCCTCTGGCTGGTTGAATTGGCCGAGCTTACCTTAAGGCTTAAGAGGAGACGGGTACGATTGGCGAGCCTTTCCACAAACTGCTCATTTTCAGCGCAGCGTTGCAGATGCTACCTATGGCCTTACCCCGTCCTGTGTCATAAGGTTTCCATTAAATTAAATTGAACTCAGTCACGTAACTGAACGATGCAAACTCTGAGTGTGTTTGCTACACCACTCAGCTCTTTCCAGTCACAAGTCAGTTGTCTGAAATCAAGTTTCAGGGGAAACGTGCCTCTCTTCAGCTGGCAAGCATGTGCATCAGGTTACCTTGTTGAGCTGATTCCAGTAAAACCTTAAAGTCAAAAGAAGGAGAGTAAATATTTCTGGTTAAATTGCACACACCTCAGACATTAACCCACCTTCTGGCACCATGGCAGCAATGTGGTGAAGTTTAGTAGTGTGCTGTGCAGTGAGACCTGTCTGCTGGGATGCTCTGCCCCCTTGTGATAGAAAATCTCAGGAAGCATGTGACATTAATACCATTACGCTGTGTATTTTTATTTTTTTTTTTGTTTAGTTTTTTCTCACGGTGATGCTAGACAAGACAAGTTTATTTATATTACAGTTTTCATACGCAAGTCAAGCTAAAGAGTTTACAAGACACTAAGAAGCTGAAGAACTGGTTTGAAAAAGAGCTTGATTTTTATTAAGGGTTGCGTAACATTTTAAAATTGACAAAATATAAACAGAAATGAACTGAAATGGGTTCTTTCACTTTAAATCCAAATTCAAATCTCATCTTTAATTGAGATTTTCAAGCAGGAAAACTGTTTATAAGTTCAATTGTTCTATCAAAGGCTACTGTAAGTAACAGTGTTTCAAAGACCTGATCTAAAAGAGCCAGCAGATTCTCCATAGCTCATTTTCAGCGAGTTTGCCCCAGAGATGAGGAGCATAGAGACTAAATTCTGCTGCAAGTTCTTTAGTTCTGGACCTCTAATGTCTTCAAAAAGCATGACGTCTACATGCTTAACTCAGAAATGCACAGCAGTAAACAAGCAGAACTTTTATCTATGAGAATTGTAAGTTCAATATGTCTTCACGGTAATAAATGCTGTCACTAGCAAATAAATAAATAATGTTAACCCATGCTGTGCCCATCATGTATTACACTGTGTTTAGCAGTATTAGCTCTTTAGCAAATTTAAAATATGTTTATCAGAAGTTGCACACTGTTCACTCTACCATAGATACAACCCTAAGCTTTAAGAAAACACTTTTTCAAACTTGAGAAGTCTTTTTGGTGTAGCTATGCCCTTCTAACTTGCACTATCTAAAATGTGGTGGGGAATTTGCAACCCAGTTGCTTGGTTAAACCAACAATGTGTCCACATTGTCTGAAGGTTGTCAAAAAGCCCTAAAAATAAAACCACCACAGGAAATAACTGTCCAGTTTTCAATACATGAGTAACTAGGTATCATAAAGTGAGCCATTCTGGTAAACTTCCTCATTTTCCTGTAAACAATCGAAATATTAATAAACTTGGTGGCCTCTGATGCTTAATTTGGTCTTTCTGCAAACTGTCGAGATCAGTGAGCAATAAAGGGTTTGATGGGTGAGCTGAAAAAAAAGGAGGCAAGGAAATGATCACCCATTTCTCACTGCCATCGCCAAGGGGCGACATATTCATCCACAATCTGTCCCTTCTCCTCCGGCGTTGTCCTGTACTAGTCCCGGCGTCAGCGACGTCACCGAGCGGACCAGCGATGAAGCTGTGGGAAAACGTCAACGGCAAACCGGAAATTGGAAGCTTGTTCTTTCAAAATAAGAGCTCAACAGCCCAACTTCACTGCAAAGTTAAAAACAAAGGAGAAAGTAGAAACAAGAAAGGAAGGTCGGCAGTAAAATGATGAAAAGAAAGTGGAATTATTTATATCATAAAGTTTTGTGTTTTGTGTAAAGGTTCACGTTGAGCAACTGACCACAAAAGTAGTTTAAGTCTGCACCACATTCAATGAAGTTAAATCTGATGGCAAATTAAGTCAGATCTGGATGTTGTTGTTGTTTTTTTAAGTAAACATGTTTGATGTAATGCAAATGTTCTACATGTAACTTTTTGATCTGAAACACTCAGACCAGGCATTTCATTTTCCTTTCTCTCCTTTATGATTTGAACTTGAAGCAAGTTGCTCTCGCCACATGCCTACATGCTCTGAGTTTCTGCCATCCGATCGTCTGATTAAATTTATTATTAACAAGTAACAGAAGTACCAAAAAAAAAAAAAAAAAAAACGTGTCCAATTACTATTCATTGCTGATTTGGCATAACATTAGGACTATCCCCCTGTGGATGTGTTGGTTCCCATTTTTATGCCAAAACAGTGCTAACTTCTTAACACATGGACTCTACCTGACCCTCAAAGCTGTGCTATGAGGTTTGTGCCAATGTATTACCAACAGATAAAGTCCTGTTGTGAGATAGGTACATCTGACTCGTCTGCCTAATACATGCAACAGACCCTCAACTGGACTGAAATAGGACCTGAGCTCTGAAGACCGACATCAGGGATGATTTGACCCAGTCATCATGCTTTCACAATTTACCTTTGTCAAACCAGCTCAAATCTTTATGCTTGCCCATTTTTCTGCTTTAACAGCACTCACAGACAAATAATATTCTACCTGTTAACATGTGTGATAATGAAGACATACTCAGCTTTATTCAATTTAATTTTCAGTGTAACAGAGGTCTTCACTTCCAGTCCTCAAGGGCCTCAGTGTCTTTTAAATGTGTCTTTGGTCCAAAACACCGTTCTCAATCGGCTGAATTATTTCCTCAGTACTGAGTCAATTTCTCCTGATTCCTGCTCAAGTCCTGATCATTTGACTTTGGTGTTGAAGCAGAAACACACCTACAAGTTGCAGGAAATTGGCCATCAAGGCCCAGAGTTGAAGACCCAAGTTTGTCTAATTATCTTATGATAGTAAAAATGGTTTTCTCATGAAAATGGAAAAATCAAATCTTTTATTTTATTTCTTTGGGAGAATTAATATTCTTTACTCGTAATAACAGAATTATCATCTCAACATTTCAGGGTGAGAAAATTCTCTCATAATGACCTGATAACTATTTTAGGACAGCAAAAGTCCTGCATAGTTTTGAATGAGTGTCTGCAGCAGGGTATCTATTTTTGTAGCTCATTTATTAATTCAAACATAATTAATGAGCTATGTTTGAATAGCTCATTAATTATGTTTTGTTTGTTTTATTGTGAAACGTCTGACCGGAAGTGCGCAGTTCGCTCTCGCTAGCTTGAAAGAAGTGTTCGAGGTGGAGGCAGTCAGTCTGCGAAGGGAAAACAAGCGAGGACAGGTCGGGCACCACTTGCCCAGCCCGTGTTTTAAACGAAGGAAAACTGGTGGAGGATATGTGGATGTGAGTGGGCTTTTCGTCACTTTCCCGCGGGCTCGGTTACTTCTCGTTCGGCTCTCGGGCCGTGGCGTGTTGAGCGTGTCGCTGTTTTGCCCATTCTCTCTGGAGTGAACACTCAGGTAAGAGCCTGCAAACCTCACAAATGAACCGCGTTAAGTTGGTGGGGCTGAACCGGCTACTTTAGACGCTTTGGCGTCTTCACGGTTTAGTTTGAGCCGCCTTTGAGGAGACTGAAAAAGTGTGGTAAAAGTTGGGACAAAGACGGCGGCTCGCTGGTGTCACTTTCACGCTTTGACGCCTGCTCTTTGTCCACTCAGATGTGGTCCAACCGCACGTCGAGCTCAAACCTCAACTCGCCCCCGACTCATCTCCTTTCACCCCCTGTCCACTTTTCTTTCATGCTTACAGCGAAATCAGGAGCCTTACGTTCATCTACATCACAATTCCCCCCATCTTTTTGTTCGGGGCCACTTAATAAAGGCCTGCAAGCGAGGGCTGCGATCCACAAAACAGGTCTTGAGAAATCTCCATGTAGTGAGACATCTGCTTCTTATTTGCGGTGCCCGTCACATTTATTGTCTGCCATAAATCCAGACGGACGTTTTCTCATTCATTCAATCGCAATGCGCCCTGTTGTGCCGTGGATCTCCTGCTGAACAGCCCACACAATGACCCGCACTTGCCAAAAACACTGGAGATTGGCGACTGGTGCCACATGCCTGGCTTTGTCAATGGTTCTAGTGGCTCTCATTGGGAACTGCACCATCCATCCCCCTAATTACATGGGCTTGCAGTAATTTTAGGAGTTGTACAGATTATCTGGAGTGTCTATCAGGTGATCAAGGTGTGTAGGTTTAAGATATTCGTCTGAGAGAAAGTGATAAGTAATGGCAAAATAAATGATACATTTTTGCATCTTTTTAGTGTTTTATAATAAATGTAAGGTAAATGACTTTATTTAGCCAGTCGATCACGTTACTTTTTTCAGAGTATATTATTACCCAGCTTGGTAGAAATTGGACAATAATTTAGAATGTGGTTACACTTTAAATAAGTTGAACTTGTGAAAATAATAATACAATAACACCCTCGGAGGAGCATTATCTTTCGTATCCCATAATAATTGCATATAAAATGTAAGGCATTGTCTGTTCCTCGGTTCTCATGACAGATTGTATCGTTAAACCTGTGGGAAGCGTTCACTTGCTGTAAATGATTGTTGAATTTAGTGCTTTTTTTAACCGAGGAATAATTTGTGGGCCTTTAATGTGTCGAGTTTTATTCATTAATTACAGAAAACAGAGATCCTTTTAAAAATGTCTGTTTAATTGCATATTTTACAGTTAATTTCTAGCCATATGATTTCAATGCCAGGCCTGTTGCTGTGAGCTAACATCAGCAGTGATGGTCTTGGTTCAGAGTCAAAATGAGTAAATCTATATCTGTGACCATTTTAAGTTTTTCTTTTTAATTGATGCAATTGTCAATCTTTTATTTCTTGAAATGGAAGAAATGTTGTGTTGCATATTGCTACTTGATTTGGAAAAAGATAAAAAAAAAAAAAAAAAAAAAAACTAATCAATATGATTTATGCCAATACCATTTTTTCATCAAAACAAAACCCATGTTTTCTCTGCCTTACCAATTTAAATCACTTAACCTGGGTGTGACTTCAGTTCCAGCTCAGATTTCCGAGACACATTGAACACATCTTAAGCCCTATGTTGCTAATAGCAATGGTAAAAGAAAAAGATAACTATTGATATTCTGGGTATGTTCACTATATTAGTGGGGTTTTATGAACCCCAAATAGGTTATAAAAATTTTTAAGGGGTTGGTCAAGCGAGTAACCCCATCACCAATCAAGTGGTTGGAGCCAAAATGGCGTCCAAAGGCTGGTTGATGCCTGTATGCCTAGTTTCTGTGGGTTGTAAGATGCATTGTAGTAATTATCATTGATTCATCAGCATGTTTCTGAAGTGGCCCTAAATTATACTGCAGGTTTGCAATGTTAATGAAGGGGTTACAGGTGCAAGGAGGCATCTATTCCTATATTCAGTGACACGTCCATGGCACACCCATTCTGCTGACACACCCTCTGAGTTCACTACGTTATTATTTTAAGACTAAGATAAGGTTCACTCAGCTGTTTTACGTAGGTGGACGGCAACAGCACATTCTGGACTCCTAGACCCGAATCACAGAAACTATAATAACATGTGAAGCAGAGACACTTTGAGCTTTGAATACCTAACATTTTTATCATCTCAGAAAGCTGAGTGCAGGCTGATTGGATATTTCAGATATAATACCAGGAAGAACAAGTTGTATATTTACTTTACTTGGCTCCAATCTCAATTTCTCAGAATAAAATTTCTCTGAATAATCCTTTGTTTCAAATCTTTTTTTTTAAGATGAGAGCTTTAGATTTTGAATTGGTTAAAGAAAAAATGTTAATTTGTGCATAAAAGGTATTTTTTTCTTGCTTTCTCACCAGGAACAATCATTTATACCAAAAACATATGTGAAGCAACACTATGTTTGAGAGGAGCAACTGTTAAAATAAATAAAATGAAAGTAAAAATTCTTGTTTACTGTAGTATTGATGGTTAGCTTGGTTAACATTTGTAAGTAGTTTTTCAAACATCTCACTGACTGGCTAATTGTTTTAGCATTAGCATTCGTGTTAGCTGAGACGCGGTGTGTCCTCTGAGCGTAAATCGATTCAGTTTTTGAATTTGACTTGCCGATCACCAGTCATGCTCATTAACTGACCAATAACCATTTCCCGGGTGCATCCCAAGAAGACGCTGGCTTGTTGTAACCTTGAAAATCGGAACCGTCTCTAATGTTTGTTTTGTTGACAGTCGATCAGAAACAGAGTGCTTTGGTAATGCTTTCGGTTTACCAATGTTTCCTGTTGGTCTTTTTAGCGTTCACTTCCTTTTTATTTTTGGAATAGAGCTCACATCGGAAACATTTCTTTATTGTGTGAAAGGGATGACAACATAAAGACTAGATTTCATTGTGATTTGGATTAAAACTGTTTTTTGTGCCATCATTTTGTTTATAAGAATAGATTTCCTTTGTTTTTCCTTTTTATTAGCTGGAGGTTTTGAGCTTCAGCCAACAACACGTTTTAAGACCATTTTAAAAACAATGCATATTCAAAAATGGACAGTTGAGAATTAAGCAAAGTATTATATGCAAAATAATTGCCAGTACAGCATAAATTGAAATTTCACACTCAGTTGTTTTACTAGCTATCACAAATGAACAAAGTCGAATGTTATAAAATGGTAACCATTGGGTACTTGGTGATTCTTGGTCCAGTTCTAGTTGTAATATTAGGGATATAAAAAATAGTAAACTTAGTTAATGATTAATATATAATTGATGTATGTTGTTTTATTGAACATAATGTGCTGAAGACATAATGGCAGCTGGTTAATGACATAACAAAGTTGATTTTGAAAACATGTTTTTGTTCCTCAGCACTTTAACAGCAGTTTGATGCAAGACGTGTGAACTGAAAGGACTCTGAGCTTCTAGGTTCGGTCGTGTTGCTGGCTACTGCTTCAGTATATAAAGTATCTCAATGTGAGCTCCTGGGTTTGTTCTCCCTTATTGTTCAAAAATGTATGTACTTTTAAGTTTTTGCATTGGATCTCTGTTTAGATGTAGTGATCCAATGAGAAATATCTTGACAGATGAAGTCTTTGTAAGTGCAGTCATGACATCAGACTAATTGCTCCTCTTCCTCTCCTGCTTAATGCGTTTGAAATGTCCTGAGTCACTGCTGGTGGTTTAAAGGCCGACATGCCTTCGTCTGATAGATTTTATTAGAGGTTTGAAACCTTTAACTGTGTTTGTGGTGACTTTTTCAAAAATATGTACAAATAAATAAACAAAATGGAGCAGAAACATTGCCATAGATCTTGTGACTTTCCTATTGGGAAGTAACTAGAATATTTTTTGTGTATTTTTAGGTGTACTGTTTAGGATCAGAATCATTTTGCTATAATTAATAATCTGTCCCTTATGGGGTGTGTATTTTTATTTTTTTTTTGTTTATTTGCTTGACAAAATACATTAACTTAATTTTTAGCCGTAATCTTTAGGATCCAGAAATGGGAAAGTATGCTTACAAAGTGGAAATATATTTCACATATGGTATTTTTGTCCTGAGGAGAGCATCATGTTTGTTTCCCTTTGGGAAAATTTAAGCTCTGTAGTAGCGAAAGAGAGAGAGAGAGAGAGAGAAATTAATAAGTGTAGGAACAGATGGACGGTCCGGACACAGAAAATTACTCATGAAGATCATCATGTTGATAGCAAAATAAAGGCCTTTGTCTTAGTGGGGATCTGTAACCTGGTGAATGGGATTGTTGTTAAACTGGGAGGACCAGCAGCCGTAATAGTTCAACCGGTTCCTATGACCCAGTGATCTAGAAATATGGTAACTATTGCACTGTGTTTACGTCTGTGGTGATGTTAGTGGGATTTAGAATTAAAATTGTATTATAACTGCTTAATTTCACACGCCTCTTTGTTTTTAAGAGTCACTCCAGGTCACAGTTCACAAAATCTTCTGTATTTTAAACATGCATATGATAGGTTGCTCTATAACTTAACTGTGTTTGAAACTAGGGAACCTTTTGGTAAAAAGTTTAGCTTTTAAACATTAATTGCATGGCTTAATTGGTTTAAGATCTAATGCTTTTTGTAGTCATTCCCTTTTTCTTAACGCTCAATATTGTGCTGGCTCATTGTTTCAGTTCTGACTGAATATCAACTAGAACTGAATTATTTCACAATTCTTGCAGCTTATTTAAAGCACAATTTATTAATTGTTTAGTGTTAAACGTTGAATTATGAGACTGATCTGTAGCTACTGGTGGGTGCCGGGAAAATGGTTATTTTAAGGATTTTGATAAAGTGTCGCTAAAACATGTAAAACCCTTAAATCTGAATATAGGATCATAACAATTGTGGTTCTACTGCTATTTCGGGGACTAAAGAGCAACCTATGAGACAGTGCTTAAAAACTAAGCTACTTGAAAAAGTTGTTTTTTTTTTTTTTCTCATAACGCCAGTGCGGGTTATTGTTGCTGTCTCTAACTCCAGCCCTTCAGAGCCATTGGCCTTCAGCTTGCGTCCATCGTGCCGGAATCAGGTAAATGGCATTGAACTTTGATTCAGATGTTTTTGAGAAAGAAACAAAAATAATAATTGCTGGGAAGTGGCTCCTGAGTACTGGAGTTTGAGACCTACGGTGTATAGTTTCAGCTGGTAAGCTTGATTCATGAATACACCCATAGTATCCAGGCATAAGAAAGAAATGAAAAATTATTATTATATTTTTTTACTTTTTGATGATAAAAAAAGTATTTGAAAATTAAATGCTTTATTGGACATATGATTGGACAAATAGATGTAAAAAAATAAAACTTTTCTGTATTTGTTTTCAAATAACCATTTGCAGTGCAGCATTTGTGTCCTTTTCTATTCCAAATATGTCAAATTTATTTTTGGTTGCTAATGACAAATTACTTATTACTGGATTTTTCCGTCTTCCTGCAATAGGTGCTCCCACATGGTGCCTATAGTCATGAAGGAAGCATCATGAAATTGTAGCTTTTTTGCAACTCAGTGACTCATTTGAACATCATTATTGCAATGATTCCCAAATGAGCATTCTGAAATTAAGATGTATTAAATGTGAATACAGTGGAAATTTACACAGACAACAGAATCTGTGCTATGAGGTGACAGTATACTTGTATACTAAAATGTAGTTGAATCCAGTATTGTTTTTTTGGAGGTTTGAAAACGGCTAAAAACCTTTCTGATGGTGAACAATACGTTGACTCAGGTTAACTGTGTGAGCTGTGGTTGTGCTTTGTGAACTTGTGCAACACTGAGCACCGAATGATAATTAATAAGTATTTAAGTTACATGAAACAGCCAAATCAATTACAATGTTAACAGATAATAGGCTCATTAAACATATTTTTGCTCCAAAAATGATTAAAGCCTGCCAAATCTACGCTGGGATCATCTGATGTCGGGATGTTGGAGCTACATCCATTTGTGAAAATGTTTTTTTTTTGACAAGCTATTGTACATTTCAAGTATGCTAAAACGTTGATTTGTTTTATTTCTTAAGTCGTTTTGTTGTCAGTGTTAAACTTGTTTACATTTTTATGTCATTCAGACATGATCTCGTCCTGCTTCTTTCATCTGTACTCACTACTCTTCTTTTTATTTTCTCCTATTTATTCTTTTTCTTTAACATTCGTCCAGTCATTGTCTCCTTTTGCCTACACTCAGTCTTGAGTTCCCAATTAATGCCAGACAATTAATGGCAGGGATGGCAAGAAAGGGCAGGAAACTGGGAGAAGTGGTAAGTTTGTGAGTAAATATGGTAGAAGCCCAGTTTTCCACAGAAACCAAAATGCTTTTAGTGGCGTATGATAAGACCCAAGATGGCATCGAAGGGGATCACTAAAGTAGCAGAAGCTGACGAAAGTCTTAACTCGTGTCTTCATTGACTGGTTGGAAGGCCAACTTTTCCGTGTTTGCTGGAGATGGGAAATGGTAAGGGTCTGTGCCCTTCTGGTAATGGTCAGGGAGAGGAAAAACATCTGCTGTGTAGATCCATTGGATGGAAAAGGAGAACGTTCTCTTCCTGGAATTACTTTCATCTTTGGGGATCTGTGGGATATAATATGTGGGAATATATGCAGCTGACATGCGAGGGTTTTCTCAGACCAGCGACAACTGTGAGTCATGTCATGCTATTCCCCAATGCTGCGTCCATCTTCCTGTTTTAAATCAAGACCTTTTGACTTGAAGAACCACTTAAAGCAGTCATTTGAGTTGATGAGTTTTACCCTTTCTTTGGCCTTAACCGCGTCTCACCAAATGCAAATCAAAAAGGGAATGATGAAACCAGCCAGCGACAAATTAATGTGCAGCAGTTTTCCGGACTGCTGGGAAATTAAACTCCTACTTTGAGGAAAATTCTCATTTTTCTTCTTTACTTGACGGAACGCGTTTCAAGACGAGGGAGGCTGTGATCCGTTCGAGGCTTTCTAGAAGATCGTCTTGCAGATTGTAACTTCATCTTCTCCTTACTCAAGGAAAAGTGAGCATAAATTTATAAACATGCGGCGAGTTGCTCGTTAAATTGTAACAGTCCCCCCACTCTTTCCTTTAATGTGTATGGGGATTGTCTTACACGGAAGAAAATTACCAGTTGAGCCATCAGGAGAGACGTGATGAGAGTGAAATCTAGCGGGTCGTAACAGGAAATTTTAAAATTGGGACAAAAGCTCACAAATATAACTCGTTGCTAAAACTGAACAACAAGGAAAAAAAGCAAAAACTGTAAACAATGTTGATGAATGGATAATTTTTTTTTTTTAAAGCAGGGTAAAATGTTAATAGTTTACATGTGAACCAGACCGTTTTTCATTTGTTGGTGGATAGTTGTAATCGCATCATTGTGGGTGCATTGTCTGTGAAAAAGGTTCAGAGGAAAATGTTGCAGCTTGTCTGACTCATAAAGAGAGTTCAGCTTTTGTTTCAGAGTTCGTTCGATTCTGTTGTTCTCGGCAGAGGCTTTGACGGGCCCTTCACGCTCTAATTGATTTAATTAAGTGGACGTACATCCCCCCCTTTGGCTGTTTTAATGCACAAGCTGACAGCATGCAGACACGCATCATGCTATCTCAAACTCCACAACATGAGCTTTGCTTATCTGTGTTTCACAGAACGATCCAAGTTTCCCTCCAGAGCATCCCAGCCCACGTAGCATCAATCCATCTGTGGTTCAAACTCGTTGACGAACTTGGGCCATTCTTGTGGATGCCGCAGAAGGCATCAGCGCTCTAATAAATGTGGAAAAATACATTAGGAAAACATGAAAATAATCCTAAAAAACTTAGGCTCATTGTTTTGTCAGGTCAGATAATTTATTCCTTACAGAGGTGGTAGAGCTGCATAATATTTATCACAATCATGATTTTATATACTTTCTGTAATATTGTTATATAGACATTTCAGTGAAGCTAGATTTCACACTCTTTTGTAGATATTCTTGGTATATGGCCTTTAAAACAAGGTTTAAGGTTTGAGTGCTTCAGTTTAAAAATCCTAACAATGTATTAGGGAGGTCGAGATGTGCAAAATATACTTGGCTATTGTTAATATTTTAAGGTGCTCATTTTCTGTCATTGGTTGAGACTGATGACAAGACGGGGATGTTGTCCACTAATGAAATTACCAATCATAAAAGGAAGTCATGTTTATGATTAGTAAAAGTTACTTCCTTCCATGTAGTTGTGACTCATAAAACCATACCTTCTCTGTTCTCTGCAAAATGTTATTTTTCCTCTGGTGGTTTTATTCTAGCCCAAGCACAAGAGGGAAAAGGAATTTCATCTTTCTTATGCTTATGTTTACAAATGGGGGAACAAATACAACAGGAAGGTATTAAATTTAGATTCATCGGACACTTTCATTTTGATATTTCCTCTGTTGGTAACTGGTAGAAAAATAATGCAGTTTCTCTGAGTGGATGGAGCTGCAGGTGAAGCTCCGTCTGATTAAAACTGAATCTGCAACAGGTGGGGATGTTCGTTGGTGTGTGATTGTAATTGACAAAAAAAAAATATATAGAATTTTAGCTAACAGCAAATTAATTAAAAGATGCAGCTCGCTACATATGATTGGATTTCTAAACAAACTGCTTTACGTCAGGTAAAGCTACAGGTAACTGCTTCAGGTAAAGCAAGATACTTCCTAAGTATCTTGGCTACTTCTGAAGTAGCCAAGATAATAAATTCTGGCACAGCACCATCATTAATTGGGTGACTTCACAGAAGTCGCAGTGTAGATGTGTAAATCTTAATTTTAGAGAGTTTTCTGGAACAAAGGCATCAACATTTTTCCAAAGGGCTTGGCTGATTTTAAGGTTTTGTCTGACAGTCTAGTTATTTAGTATAACCGGTTTCAGAGACTCGGACTACAGATAAAGTTTAACAAACTTCCAGCCAGAAATCTGCTTGGGATGTGACTTTGTCTTTAGTATATCTTGACTCCTTTATACATTGGGGTCCTATATTACATTTAACTCAGCTCAACGATAAAGGGTTGCTTTAAAAGATTATGGGCAAATCCTTGTATCTAAGGGAAGTGCCCAGACTACATACAGAAAAAGGAAAAAGAAAGCAGGCATATACAAACAGTGAATGCCTGTGCTGAGGCATGAATTAAGTGAGGAAGTGTGAATGGAATTTGACTCCAGTGTAAACCTGCCACCAAACCCACCGCTTCCACTGCAAGGCCAAACAGAGCTGCAGGAATTGCAAAATGGATGAGACAAGACACAACAGCAACCAGCAAACTGATAGTTTCTCCTTTGTCAGCAAAGAACTCTGACCTATCAGGTTGTTTCTTATGATCGTTAATTCTCTTTTTGCACTTTATTCATCCCATTATGGAAATTCTGCATGCTGCAAAATGTTGAAGGGCTCTTTGCTGTGTGAAAAAGCACGCACTGCAGCAAAACTGCTCCATTATTTACCCATAATTTTAGTTCTTTTTGCATTCACTGGATTGGTAATTGCATAATAAATTTCAAAATTACAATTTTATGCCTATCAAAATTATCTTAGAGGTGTTAAAGCTGTAAAGAAACTGCTAAGAGTAAGGACTGAACAGCAGAATGGTCAACACGACGCTCTTCAGAACATAAAAGTAGTTCATAAAAGGTTGTTGCTGTCAACTCCTCAGCTTTATTGGGGTGTAAATATTGGTAAATTAGTCTCAAGAATCCTTACATGACAAGGCTTCTGCAGAAAACCCTCAGAAATATGAGCAGAGCCATATTGGTGTGAACAAATAGGTACACAAAACCATTTGATAATTTAGCACTTTAGAACTCTAACATTTTAAATTCAACATTTAAATTCGTAATTTAGTTCATTGATGAGGGCTGACTAAATGTACCATCAGTATGTTTGAACTGCTAGTAATCTGTCAAGTCTATGTATTTAATTTGACGTTTTAACACGTAAATCTCTAACTTTTTGCTTAAATGTCTAGACAAAATCCAATAGAAAAAGAAGGATATTGGTGTTGGCTTTGCTACGGATATTTGATCAGTTT